TTCCCAACAAATTCATCAGCTTTCCCTTTATGTTTCAATTTTACAAAAAAGCAAATAAAAATTTACATGATCTTTTATTTTCATATGAGTTCTTTCTTACCCAGTAATAGATACTGTGTGTGTGTGTGTGTTTGTGTGTGTGTGCGTGTGTGTAATGGAAACAAGTAAGTAACATATAATTCACTTGGAAACAATATTTTGCTGTGTAGCATGCTCTACAGCTTGCTTTACAGATTAAATTTGCCCATGCCCTAAAAGGCTAAAATCTGATTTAACAATAAGGCACATGTATATGTTAATTAGCTAATTTTTCAAGGTCCGTGGACAACAGACAGAGAATCAGCAGTCTGCTTCAGATTCTAGATCCATATTACAATTTACAAGTTGTAGTTCAGGCTATGGTGTAAACTTCATGTACACCCAGCAGGAAGATTACATGTAAGGACCAGATGTCAGAGGTAGTGAAGGGGGAGTACATGATGGGTTTTGTGCTTTTTCACTATTCACAAAGATTGTATGGGGAAAACCTCTTTAGCAGAAGGATAACAAAATGATGTCTCCTAGAAATTATTATAAGTTGTCTAGGTTTTTGGAATTGGAACACCTTGAAAATACTTCTGCTATAAATATTAAATTGACAGCTTTTTAAAAAATTGCAACCACAAAATATATTAGCAAAAAGAAGAAGGCTTCCATTCTGCTTCCAAGTTTTTTTCAAGTATGAGAGCCAAAAATTATGTCTCCTAACTAAACTTCTAAACAAATATTGTGACTTATAAATGAAAACACAGAAATGTATATATCTGAAAATAGTACATTAGTACATATGTAAGGAGGACACATGGTACCAATGCTAGGAGATATCCTCAAGTTGGCAAGAGGCACCACATTCCCTGCAGGCTAGGTGGCGTGGATGGATTTTGGCATATTTCACTGGGAGAAGAAAATGCCAGGTTGACAACTTTTATATTCCTCTAGGAAGTACGCTTTTGTAAAGCTATCATGTGAGACAATATCCACCACTAAGAGTTTCCACAAGAAGCTAACAAAGTATCTGAGGGAAAAAAACATTGTCATAGACAAAACATTGCATAGAATTGAAAAAGGTTATTAACTGCTCATTCTGCATATTACATATTGTATTGCACAGTAAGCAAGTTATAGAAAACTAGCATTTTGGACAAAGATGGTATTTCTGAATGATTTTGTCAATCAGTGTAGCATTAAACCAAGTTCAGAAAAGATAAAAGCTAAGCAGGTAAAATGAGACCATGCAAGGCACAAAAGCAACACATTCTTCACAGCTGAAATGCAGACCCTTAGGGAAACGTCTGTTACTTGACTTGCCACACGTTTCAAAGATATTACTAAGAGCCAGTGTATCTCTCTGAGTATCAAAATAGGTTATTGTGTTTCAGCCTAACAGTTTCAGAAATGCAGGGTCAATTCTTGCTTTCCAATAGGAACAATAACAACATAATAGTAATAATAGCAGTAAATATTCACTGAGTGATTACTGTGCACCAGGCACTTTGCTGAGCACTCTACAAATTATATCTATCTGCACAGCACTTGATATTCGGTAGGTTTTATTATTTTCCTCAACTTACAGAAAGCTGAGATATTAAAGTCTTAATAATGGTCAAAAGAAGCAGTCGATTTGTCCATGTAGATGCAGAGAGGCACAGGGTGACTGGGGCTGAATTTATCACTTGTGCTAAAATTGTGGTCCCATGTTTTAGGTTCTCACCAATATGAAAGTAAGATGTTTCATAGGAGTACTATGTAGTTGATTTCCTCCTCAACACATTTTTTTTACTTCAAACCAGGTTTCAGGCAAGATCATCCTCAGACTGAGGATGAAGGTTGCCAGCCACGCAGGGCTCCTGACAATGGGAACAATATCCCGGTGTGATGGAGAGTCCTTAAAAACAAGCCTGTCTAGATACTAGACACTGCACCTCACACTAGGGAAATTTCAGAGAAAAACAGTTCTTGCAAAGACAGTGCCCCTGGCTACTGGTACATATGATTTGTGTAACCTCGGTGTGAACATAAATCTCCAGAAAGGTGGATTTGGCCTGGTGATGCTAGTTTTGAAGATCAATGGCATGTTTCCTGAATTCTGATATGTGAATGAGAACAGTGACTCTCCATCCGCATACCTGAGAATCCCCTGAAAGCTGTCACAAAAAATATATGCACAGGGGTTGGGGCATTAAATCTAAATGCCAGAGTGAGCATTTAGATTTTATAGGAAGCTCCCTAGGTGGCTGTAACAGATCACCAGGATGGAGAACACTTCATAGGTGTAGCCCAGCAACTGAAACTGCTTGAGTGTTTGAGTCAGTTAGACTAAGAAGTGAGATTCAAGTCTCAAAATCTCTAAAAACTGAACAGCAATTGGCACACAATGTGGCAAAGAAAGCAAGAAATACATTTGGTAAGACTGTCTACCTGCTGGGATTCTTGTGTCTCCTAACTTGAGCATTCAAGATAGTTATTTTGAAGACATAACTAGACAGCTGTCAACATGGGAAGCCTATAAGAACATGACAATATATTCAGAGAAAATTGAGAATTCATGTGGTGTCACAATATTATTTAAAATTTGGGAAGACTTTGTGACCTCTTATTAGGTCTTAAGACCAAACTGCACCAGAAGGAGGGGGGAAGACACCACCTGTGAACCTCAAAATGCTAGACTTGTGGGAAAAAGGGTGCTGATTTGTATCAGGCTTGTACAAAACACAAAACATTCCTTGGTAGTAGTCAATGATTTGCTAATAATTTAAGTTCCTATAGGCCCCCTCTAGCCCTGCTGTTGGGCTCATGCCAGTACAGTTTGGTTTTAGATATCTAGGCTTCTTGAGCACACAGATGGTCTAAGTTTCCGGTGTCTTCCCAAGACTTTGCTGTCTCTGGTCTTCATAAAAAAGTAATGGCTCACAGTTTATTGGTCATTCTTAGAGAATTTGTGAGGTCATCTGAGCTTAAAACACAAGCTTACTCTATCTCCAAAAAGGAAGACCTGGCTAACACGGAGAACCAAGGTCTACATGATTGTCAGCAGCCGACTTTTACTTCATCTCCAGCCAATGCAACCCCAGAATGCTGGTGCAGAATGGAAGTCAAATTCCTCCCTCTCTGTCCTCTTGAAGGAAATGCCAATTCTAGATGGTCCTCCCTACAGATGGGAAGGATTCCAACAGTGCCCCAGTCAGACTTCCCCACTCTTGCATAATCGTGAAATGAGGGTCCCAGACACACTGGCATCTCCCAGCTACACCCGAATTCCTCTCGATCTTACCTAGAGAACAGGAAACAAGGAGGTTATTAGGAGAAACGTCATACAACATACTCTTTCCTAGGAGCCGTAAGAAGCAACAGACAAACCTGAGGTTGAGAAGACGAGTTCTCCAAAATCTACCAAGTAGGTGCACAGCTTGGACACCAATGATGCCCTTTCTTGGAAAGACCTGAGATTTCCCAGACCCCTTTTAGAGATGAAATATTTTACAAGGTTAAATACGGACAGGGTCCCTGGTCTGGATTAATTCCAGATCTGTTCATCTTAATGCAAGTAGTATGTGTGGAACTGGAACAAATGACAGTCTCACAGAGTTGTTTAAGCCCCTGAACTCTACTCTCCTGCCACACCTTCGCATTTTTCTTCGAGCGCTGGAAGATTTCTTAGGTTTGGGAAAGCTCAGGGGCAAAGCTTTAAAAGATTTCCCGGATTTGGTAAGCTCATGGGCACCCCCTGTGGACAGGATGCAAGGAAGCGTGCCTTCTGTTTCCACAGAATGACTGGACCGAGCAGAGGGGCAGGTCTGCGGGAGCGAGCAGCGGTGTAAGGCGCGGTTCCTGAGAGCTGCCGCGTAAAGGCCGATGTAGCGGAGGCGGGTCTCTCGCTGCGCGCCCGCGCGGCGGGTGGGGGCTCTCCCTCCGCACCCCCAGCTCTGAGCCCGCCTCGCCAGCAGCCCAGGGGCGGGCTCCCCACGCGCTGGCTGCGGAGCCGCGGTCCCATTGGCCCGGCGGCACGTCCGTCCCCGAGTGAGGCTTCCAAAGTTTCATTGAAGGTGGAGAACTGCGCGCCCTCCCGGGAGCCGGGGCTGCGCCGCCAGGGCGAGGCTGCACCCGCCGCGGGCGGGGGGCGCTGGCATCCGGACGGCGTTTGGTTTTCATTTAACTATTTTTTTTTTAATTGAGGCCGTGGAGGGAAGGAGTTGGAGCTTGACCCACTGGTGGTGCGCTTTCGTCTCGTTTTCTGTCCACGCTCGCACGATTCCTTCTAGTGAGGGAAGGGTTTGCAGCGCCAACCGCAGACCGAGGACTTCGAGCCCCGTGCTGTCGGGGATGGTTGCGCGCGCCTGGCCGCTGCAGCCCCGGTCTCTCCGGCCCGAGGCTGCGGGGCGCAGAGGCTGAACTGCGCCGCCGCTCCGGGATCCGCCGCTGGCCCGCTGGTGACCCGCGGGCAGCTCCGGGAGCCCGGGCGTTGGGCCGCGCGCCGCAGCCCGCGTGGGCAGAGGGCCGGGGGCGGGCCGCCGAGAGGCACTTTGGCTTTGGAGGGGGCCCCTCGTAGAAAATTCCCCGGCAGCCCCTGAGCTACGCCCAGGAGCCAGGAGGAAGGATCGAACACCCTTCTCTTCGCCTTTCCTCGCCGCTCTGCCCCAGGACCCTCTCAAAGTGCCCCATCCACTGCTTTGCCCCCGGCCATCCGCTGAAGAAGCCGCAGCCACCGGATTGGTGATCCTTCACTTCATGGGCCGGCCGTTGCGGGGGTCCGGAGTCTGGCGAGGGGCCACTTAGAGGGGCAGCCAAAGCCCAGCGAGGGGCTGCGGCGAGGCGCGGCCGGAGCCCTGTGAGCGCGCCCTCGGGGCAGACGGCGCGGCGGCCCTCGCCCAGGCAATGCCCGGGCGGCTGCAAGCCGCCGGCCTCAGGAGGCCCTAGGTGGGCATGGGCCTGGCACCCCAGTCTTAGGGAAACGCAAGCTGCGCCCCTCTGCTCGAACTCGCTGGACTGAAGCGATGGCCTCGGAAGTGGTGTGCGGGCTTATCTTCAGGCTGCTGCTCCCCATCTGCCTGGCAGTAGGTGAGTGTGGTCCGCGCGCGGAGGTTAACAGGGAGAGTGAGGGGACGTCTGGGAAAGGGCAGGCTTACGAGGCAAACCAAAGCTAAGGGCACTAATGCACAGGGACTTAATTCAGGAAGCCAGCGCCGGGGTCCTGAGTGCCACAACCCGACACTCACTTCCCGCGCTGGGGCGCACAATCCGGGTCTCTTAAACGTCCAACGGCAGAGTCCGGGCGACCGATATCCGCAAACGCTGGAGTCTGTTGAATTTAGTTACACGTGGAATTTCTTTCGTGGAGTACTGACTTGTGCATAAAGGATGCAAGTCTGCCTGGAAGGCAGTTGTAGACCCCCTTCTCAGGTACAGTGCAGGATCGCACTAGTCCGCTCCTCCCCAGTCCCCAGACGCACTGCACAAGGTACATCCGGACGGTGCCGAACCATCTCTCCCACAACCCCATATCCCAGCCACTGTGAAGGAAGAAGTGACGGACTCGTCTTTCCAAAAAAAAAAAGAGAGAGAGAGAGACGTTTGTTTACTTTCTTTTATTTCACAAAAGCCCCCACACCACAAATGCTGTCGCTGAGTCTGTAGACCACTACACCCAGTCCCTCCCGCCCACTCAGTACACGCCTTAACTGATGTTAAAAGGGTAGAAAGCTGGTCTGCGCTCCTCGCCACTGGCGAGGGTTCAGGGAAAGAGCCTCAGCCACCTCCCATCCAGGCTCTCATTATTTCTACAGGGCTGGCAGGACGTTAAAAGCAAATGGGTGTCAGGTCCAAAGTCTCTGGCAGCGTGCTGGGAATGAGAGTTTCTGAGTTTCTCTTCTAATAGATGGTGCCTGTTACCTTGAACCCCACTTCTCAGAATGACTGACTGCTCCTTACTTTCCCCATCCCCAACCAGAGCTAGAAAACAACACTTTTTACCAAGTAGCAATGCACTGACAAAAATCATGGCCTTCGCAGAAAAGGCCACCTTTTTTGCATTTTGCCAGAGGTTAAGGACTCAAGATCACACTTGTGCTAGGTGTTTTATTTGTGCAGGTAATCAAAGCGGAGGGGTTGGGGCTCCGGTGCGTTTGTGGAGGGGAGATCCCAGCTTCCCGGGAGGAGCTTGTAATCGAGTGTTAACACGCAAATAACCATCGCTGAAAGCCCAAGAAGGCTTTCAGAGTGGAAAATTTGTGGTAACGGCACCTGGTCCTGGGGCAGAAGGTGAGGCCAGCACGTGCAGGCTGGCCTTGGCCTCTCCTTTGTCATTTGAGTTTCAGGCCAAGATCATTTTGCAGGGATCTGTGTTCTTAATAATAACTCATGTAGATAGATAAGCGCAGCTTCCACGAAACTAATGTGGACCTCTCTCCGCCAGTTTAAGTTTGAGAAGAAAGAGGGTTTTGGAAAGCGATTTCGGTGAAAATAGCGCCGTGGTACTGTTGGTGCTTTACACGCAGGGTGTGCCCGGGTCTGGGGATCATCAGTGTATCTGAAGCGCCTGGCATACTTAACTATTTGCAGAATGGAAGCTAGTGCCTAAGTTAAAGGGACTTTAAGTGTGAGGGCCGATTTGTGTTCGTCATTGCCCATGGGGGAGGCGGCCTGGGGAGGGACACTAGGGTCAGACGGCTCTCTGCTCCTCCACCTCCTCATTCTCGCACCCCTTTACCCTCCCCGCCTCTCCTTGGGGTAGCAGCTCGCTGCGACTGTAGGAAGGGTTAGGCAGATGGTTACCTGCGGCCCGCTCCGTCCACTCGGTGAGCCTAGGGATACCGCAGCAGGCATTACCTTCTGACTGCCAGCGACCACCCCCAGAGCTTAGGTTCTTGCAGTACCCCGCTCTCCAGCCCAAGTGCTCCGCCGCCGCCGGCGTTGGCGCGGTGTCATTTCCGACTAGATCATTGGTGTCTACCCTGCAAAGCCCTTTAGTAGGACCGTAAAGCTGTGCTTCCAGAGCGGCCAGGGCGTGTAGCACTCCCAGCTCTCGTGCCTTCGGAAAGGCGCGGAGCCTCCCAGGGGCGCATAGCAGAGTAGGGACTATGGTCCCGCGGTTGGGGTCGCGACACGGCCCCGTCCCCTTCTGTCCCCGTCCCCTGCTGCCGCGCGGCGCCCCGTGGGTCCCAGTGCAGTGTTCACTGCCCGCAGGCTGGGGCCCAAGGTAGGCTAGCTCGGGCCCGGGACCCGCCCATTGGCTCCGCGGCCCGGACCTTCTGGAAAAGAGAGCTGCTTTGAAAGGACTCAAAGATGGTCGCCCCCGCCCGCCCGCAGTCCTGCTTCCTCACCCGGGGACAGCGGGAGTCGGCGGGCCCAGATGATCCTCGGCCGCCTTCCCTTTCCAGCTCAGGGCTCTGGGTTCCCACGCGTCTTCAGGACCCAGGGAAGCCAACCTGGGTGTGCGTGTGCGCGCGCGGGGTAGGGTGGTGCTCCGTCATCTCCCTGCCGGAGGGCGGCGGAGAACGCCCCCCGCCTCGCTAGCTGTGGAGCCCATTGCTTCCCTCTCCCAGGTGGAAGGCGACCTAGCAGAGGGTGAAAGACGTGGACCTCGGACCACGCCCCCTGCCTAGGGAGAGGGGAGCTTCGGGAAAGCCAGATGACTGCCCTCCTGACAGACCCCTTCACTTTTTGGCTGCTGCTTAGGGAAGACAGCCGACTTCCCGACGATGTATGATGCCTCTACTCATAGCACCTGTTGGGAAAAGGGGGCTGGGTACATGTTGCCGGAATTAAACGTTCAATTCTCTTAAACAGCAAGTGAACATTGTCAAGGTTATTGGAGGGTTTTCAGGTCGGCCTACTCCCAAGGTGCTACCAAATCAAATTCGCAGGTTCCCCTCGTACCCTGATCGTGGAGCAGGCAATGATGTATTTGCCATTAGCATCGATGTTTACATAGCCATCTATTTTAATATCTGGGCAAGGCAGCTTTCAAAGCCAAGCCTTTGTAGAAGCTTTTGTATTTCTCTTTAAATTCATTTCTTTGACATTTCTGTTGAATTTTTTCTGCACAGAGATGCTCTAGCCATTTTACCTAATGATGGATGTTAAAGATTAACTGCCATTGTGTTTAATCAGATGCTTAAAGTTTTTCTTTTCCCTTTAAAAGAAGTTTACGAGAAGTGATAAGTGAAATTAGGCCTCTTTTATGCAGGTGTTTTGTGGCTTTTCAGTGTTAAAAGCAAAACAAAAACCATAACATAACATAATATTGTTTACCATCCAAAATGAGATTCCAGTGACAGATTTTTCCATAGCAACAGAAAATGAAAAATTTAAAGATCCACAGCATTATTTATGGCTACTTGGACAGCCATTCTGATTTTTCCTTACAAATAATACATGAAGAAATTAACAGATAAAACCTTCCATGATATGCAATTTTAATAATTATAATAATATCTGGTAATTCTTGAGTACTTTAGAAATATTTTTACATTTGTTTTCTTCTAACATGATTCTATTGTGCCAATAATCTTTAAGTCTCTGATTGGAGACTATTCCTGAGTTGTGATGGGATTGGTGTATTTTTGATCATATGTTCATGACCCATTCACTGCATTTTGCCTAGTGTTGTTTGTAGTTCCCTAATATTTTGCCTAGGAGAGCTGACTTAAGTATTTTTAGGGAAGGAGAGGGAACCTGGCATGGACAGAACAGATGGTTCAGGAGGGGCAGAGCCAAGGTAACATCACTGGCTTATGCTTACCTTACTCTTAATGAAGTGGCCAGAGCTTAGGAAAAGAGAGAGCAGAACAGGAGACTGAAGCACACAAAAGGAATCAAGCAACAAATGGATGCTCTAGAAAAATGTCACACTTGGATAATAGTGCAAGTTCAGGAAGAATCTCTAAAATTCTCTTTAGAGATAGTTGGATAAAAACTAGAGCAAAAATACAGAGTCACTTTTTAATTTTGTATGGGTATGGCTACCTACACCTAATTTTCCCTCTATGGCATAATGTATTTTTCCTCATGTGGCATGTGTTATTTTGAAATCACACTTTCACACACACCAAGAATTACAAATGAAGCCTGATTAGAGTTCAGAGTCATTCCCCCTGTCTCTTCCAAAACTCTCTGCGGCAGGAGGTTTCAGTTGCTGAATGATGTGTTAACAGTGTTTGAAGTCACTTTATTTTCTGTCACACCTCTCAGCCTTACCTAGGTAAGTACTATTTATCACTTTCAGAAAGGAAAAATACAATAGTGGAAAAGACTAGAAATACATAGATCCATTTAATATAAAATACTTAATGAACACAGATGGACTTGTCACTTGGGCTGTGGAATCTGAGGTTATATGTCAACCCTGTAGTTTGTCAATGGATATGTAGCTTTGTATACAGTGTGTGCTTATTCATAGTCAGAGATCAGCAGGATGCTTTGGACTTCACCTTTAGGGGAAAGGGGTGTTGTGACTTGGAAATTGAAGAAACTTCCATTCACATCCCGGCTGTGCCCTTTATTATATGATCATGGAGTTTTTTTTGCTTGTTTGTTTCTCTCTTCTTTCTGTAAAATGGAGATATTAATACCTCCTTCCTTGGGTGGTTGTGAGATAGTGTGCACTGCACACCTTATATAATGCCTGACACTCAACAGGTCCTCAAAAAGGAAGGTATTGAGTTTCTGACAATGTGTAGAAGAGCAGGAATGCTTGAGGAATGTGTTTTAGTAGAAATGAACAGACTAGCAGGTAAAACATGAGTCGTAAGAGACTGAATAAGTAAGTGGGATTCATATGAAAACAATATTATACCTTCCTAGGGCCAGATTATGCAGTTGAAAGTTGGTGTATGTGTTAGCAGAGGATTTTTAATTATCAGGATTATTCTCATCAGTTTTACTCAATACTCTATATATCTGCAGTTTCATTCTTCTTATTAAATATGTTCTCTATGGAACTGTATGCCTTTTGACACTATACCATCATTTTTGGTCTTTATTTAATATGATTTTATTTATCTGTTTTTACATGGGCATTTTCCTTTCAGATCCTATGCTACTTTAATTGTACATGAAGT